TCACAGCACTCAGGATAAATGTTTAGATCACACCCGCATATATTTCTTTCTAATCACGTTATGAGGAACAAAATCTCTCGGAAACTCTTTTTCTGTGCTGATTCTAGCTGATTATTTCCGCTACAGTGTTGTACATGATTATCTGCTCAGACTCAGCGGCATCTAAAGCATCATTGATCAGCTAATGATGGAGGATTCAAAGTAGTGTATCTCCAAATTGTACCATTTAACAGATTAATATTGCTAACATATTATAACAGATAATAACAGATATTTTTTCAGTGGCAGACAACTGTCAACCTAACAAAGACTGTGTACACTGTATACTGCATAACTAGGATCTCTATCTGTATTAACATTATAGGGAAATATAACATTTATTTCTATAGGGTTGCAAATACAGATGCACAATAGTATTGGACTCATATCTCTGCAGATATTTGCTTGAAAATAAAGTTTGAACACCTGATCAAATTACACATTTTGTTGATTTTCTAAGTGAAAATAACGCCTCCTCTACAGAGAACAAACTTATATATGGCATGTTTCTGCTAATTTTAGTGCACAATTTCTATTGATTTGTTGAGTTTAACAGATTGCAAAAAACAAAACATACAATTTTTTAAATTCAGCAAATAAACAGTAATAGTGCATTAAAATGTGCAGAAGTATGTTCTCTGTAGAGGATGTGTTGACTTTTCACTCAGAAAATCAACAAAACGTCATTTGACCAGGGGTGCCAAATCTTTTGCATACAACCATATTTAATCCAGCGTCACTTAAATATTCTGCTCTTCTCAAGTACAGCAAATATATCATCAAACACTAGTTAGAAACATAATTTGGTTGAATCTAAACATCTGTCGAATCATGATCATCTTTTCGGTAACTGCCGATACCAATATGATTCCGATATTATTGTGCATCCATAGTAGAAACACACAGTAGGTGTTTCTAATAAAGAGGACAGTCATTGTATGTTTTACATTTTTCTAAACAGTCACTCCTTTGCTTGCTTGCCTTAAGACACAAATTATTCATAAATTCTTCATAAATTATTAGAGATTTCTGTCAATAGAAAAATGCATGTAGAGGACTGTGTGATTACACGTTAACAGAACGTTTCCCTGGACTCGCTCTGTGTCCTCTCATAACACTCTCAGCCCTCCACACTGCCTGATTTTAACAGCTATGCGTGGGTGTGATTTCACAACAGAAGGATAGAAAGTCCCCAAATTATGACCACTTATAAACCTCAAATCCACAAACGGGGGGACAATATTTGAAATGCAACTGAAAAGAGAAAGCAGTGATTTGTAAATTCACGATTGTAAATCCAATGATTTGTATTTAAGTAAAAACATCATAAAAACAAGGTATTTAATGTTTTAAATTGTCAACTTCATTGACCTTCTTTACTTTTAATGTAAGTCAATGGGACCAGACTTTTTTCCAAGTCATTTTGGGTCATTTCTTTTGATCCATTCATCATGAAATTGACACACAGTGTAAAGGGCAACAGGCATTTTCAAAATGTCAAAAACTGAAAAACGACAAAAATGGAGATGGTTTTCTTCCAACAGCAGTGATATGCTCATTCTGATGCCTGGAACATGTTCCAAAAAAGTCCGGGACGGGGGCAGTTTCAAGACAAGGAACGTTGTGAAATGTTCAAAAACATCTGGTGAAGGTGACATTCTAGTCCTTTATGAGCAAGGATGGGTTGTGGCTCACCGCTGTGCCATAAAAATGCCTATGCGAATAACCCAACAGTTTAAGAACTACGTTCCTCAATGAGCAATTCAATAAAATTTAGGTGTTTCATCCTCTGTCAGGAATAAGAATTGGCCAGCATTTTTGCTCAAAACACATAATTGGCAATTGGCCAATTTATTTTTTTTTTAGCCAATCTGTGTTGCAATTTCATGACATAAATAACATGAGTCAGGTAAGTGCACTCCCACTGCATTTGAATGCTGCAGTTACACCTGTGCCAAAATGTCACTGCATAATTATGCATGACTCACTTTGTTAAGTGGCCAGTCACCTCTTACTTTTGATGTAGCACTTCATGTGATTCATGTTATTGATTCAGGTTTTAAAAGGCCAATAAAAATCGGCCATTGGCCAATTCAACTGTGTAGAAATTGCAATCTGAATCAGCCACAAAAATTCAATCGCTGCCTCCCAACCCTCTGTGGCGCATAATATCAAAGCTTTCAGAGAATCAGCAGAAATCTCTTTACATAAAGGGTGAGGCCAAAAACCACACATGAAGGTCCATAACCCCTCTGACAGCAATGAATTAAAAAGGGGCATGCCTCTATGACGGACAGATATTAACACATGGGCTTGGGAACACTTTGACAAACTGTTGTCAATAAACACTGTTCATTGCTGCATCCACAAATCCAAGGTAAGACTATACTATGTACAGCATAATCCATATGTCAACAATGCTCATTAATTCTGCCTTCTCTGAGCTAAAGCTCATCTAAAATGGACTGATTCATGGTGGAAACATGTACTGTGGTTTGATGAATTGACCTTTCAGACTGTTTACAGAAATTGTTCTTCAGGCCAAAGAAGAGAAGGATCATCCAAATCGTTATCAGTATAAAGTTCAAAAGCCAGAGTCTGTCATGGTATGGGGACATATCAGTGTCCATGGCATGGGTAACTTGCATATTTTGAAGGCACCATGAATGCTGAAAGATATATATATACAGACTTTGAAGCAATATATGCTGCCTTCTAGATGACGTCTTTTTCAGGGACAAGCCACATTTTGAATGTGTTACAATAGCAGGGATGTGTAATCAGAGAGTGCAGGTGCTAGATTGGCCTACCTGGAGTCCAGACCTGCCTCCAGTATGAAGTGCAAAATATGACAACGAAGGCCCTGTACAGTTGCACAGCTAAAGAATTGGCAAAAAATTCTGCTTTCAAAACTGTCTTAAAAACCAAAATGATTATTAAGTGTTGTTAAAAGTAAAGGTGGTATAACACAGTGAAAGTTTGCAATCAGTGTATATTTACAAAAAACAATCAAGTTTACAAGGTAAAACATATATCACAAATATCATGTTTTTGTACTGTTTTTAATTCAATACATATCAAAGATAATTTACTAATCACTGCTTTCTTTTTTTATTAGCATTTATGTACTGTTTCAACTTTTTTGGAATTTGGAATCTCGTATATCAGGATATGAATACATTCCTGCACTTGATTCACATATACTTGTAAGCCTAGTACCGCAAGGAGCATATAAAACGTGTGAGAGATATGCAGTGCATTCCTCTATAAAGCTGTTGGAGTAGGATTTTCATAGGGAGGTCAGAAGACTGCCCTTGCGCAAGGACATTGTGGTCCTGCGCTTGGTCCTCTGCCACTTTGCCAGTTTGGAGTTTTAACTGCGGTGCGTGGTGCAGCACCTCATGCGTGGCACGCTTATGTAATGCGACTTGTGGGGTGAGGGAACATGCAGCAGTCTTAGTGTTACAGGCCTCCATCCGCCGGGATGCTGATAAATATCACACACACACACTGTGATCTTCATTACACATGATTCATGCAGGCACGTCCTGCGCTGGTGCAATAATGGCACACCAGAGACGACGAAGCCCCGCTCTTCGTCCAGGGCTTTGCCACTGTGCTTTCTGAGCAAAGAGCCAGATCATCTCATTAGCGGCACTCAACCACATTCACACAACCCATTAGATTCTTGCTTGCTCAGTGAAACCTTAACAGCAACATCTTGAATTGAGCCACAACTATTTGCATGGCAAGCAATTAGTGCTGAGTGATATATCGTTTATTAATTGTTATCATGATACTGGCTTTTGTAATACTGATATCATAGGCTTGTATATAATTATAATGTTTTTTTTATTGTGTGCTTTTAGCATCCTGATCAATCACAGCTATAAAAGGCTATTTCTGTGGATGTTTTGATCAATAAATGTATTCATGTAATCTGCTTATTTTGGCCAAAATACAGGCTAATAATATCACCTTATTGTTTTTCGATACTTAGAAAGGCATATAGTAATCACTATACTTAGCAACATAATCTCAAAACTAGTATTTTGCCCATACCGTGCAGCCCTAGGAGCTCCTATATGAAACATAGTGGATCTATTAATAGAACAGCAGGACTCAAGCCATTAAAACTGCCTATTGTCTACATATCTCCATGCATATCAAGTCGTCTGCAGTTTTTATCAACTTGTCATTGCATAATAGCTTTACATGCTGGGGCATATGTAACTGCTTAGTCAACTCTTTGGAGAATAGGCACTCTTAGGAGAATAGCAGCTCTGTTCAATTAGTTGAGTCTGCTGCAGCCAGTAGTACAGCAAAAGCCACACAGGAGAGCCAGCAACATTAAATTAACTCCTGCAGAGCACATAAGAGCACATAGTGGAGCACTCTGCAGGAATTCATTTCACACTAGTGGAGTTCAATTTAAAAGTGGCGATTTGACTCTGTAGAGTGAGTGACACAGCGTGCCACGATAAAATGAACTAAATGGTGCAGTTTCTTGGTCAAGAATGGATAAGAAAAGGTCTTTTGGCTTATTTTGTCCTCATTCCAGAACATACAATTTACAATGAGTCCAAAGTTTGCTCAGGAACTTCTCCACATGAGTCCACACCATGAGACATGTACTCTTGATTTTCAATCTATTAGCTTTAAGCTTTGAGGGGAAATCTGCTTCCACACCACCCACCAGTTCTATGCAAATAACATTAGTCTTATACACACATAAAACCCAGCCAAGTCTAAATGCACTCCCCCATCTCTAATTGCTCCACCACACCAGCTAGTCTTCACTGCCATCACATGGACACGGACGTGCTGCAAAGAAATGACGCTCAGCGCTGATTTGTTACACAAAGAAACGAGAAAGGAGCAACTCGAGCAACAAAAACATGCTTCTATCTGGTGCTCTGATCCCTCAGGTGCTTCGCCTCTCCCCCCACACACCCACTTACTTCTGTGGCTGGAATATCCAGGGTAGTAACCATAATAGCCCGTCATTCGCAAAATGCGGTCCTCAATGTCATGCACCCCGTTGGCCGTCACTTTGGGTTCTTCCCTGTAGGTCGGGTGGTTCTCGGCTTTGGGGGATTTGGGGGACGCTTTGCCTGGGAGGTGGGAGCTCCTGAGCGGCTCCTGGCGGACTCCGAGCTGCTCCACTACCTCGCTCTCCATTCTAGCAAAACAAGCTAAAGGCCAGCTTCTAGGTAACGAGCGAGAACCCCGCGAAGCCCGCTGTCGAGAGCATCACCCCACAGCGGAGGACACACACATTCCCATACACACGGGGAGAGTCGCGCTGCTGAAACTTGGCTGGCGTTCTTCACGCGTTCGGACGCCAGGGGGCGCAACGGTGAACGCGAGCAAACGTAGCGCTGTGAGCGTGGATTCAGAATAGCTGCAGGCTTTCGGGTTTTTTACCCACCCGTATTCCGACAGACCCCGCCTCCTGCGCCGGGATTGGCTAATACTGCACCACCTCTTAAGCCACGATAGGTAGGCTGTTCGTGAGTATGAACAACAAGCCAATTCCAGACTAGCAGGCGGGATGATGACACCTAGTGAAGGAGGAGAGAATTGTAATGTTATAATAATAATAATAATAATAATAATAATAATGATAATAATAATGAAAAGAAGAAGAAGACTAGAAGTTTAATATAAAGAAAACATTTTTCATACTCAACTTCACTACGAAAAATTTAAAGTGAAGAGGGATACTCCTACAGCATAGAGGTATTATTAGGGGTGGGGTACTATTAGCTAATCATAGCGGAGGAGTTAATAATAATAATAAGAAGAAGAAGAAGTAAACGACGAAGAAGAAGAAGAAGAAGAAGAAATATTTTTTACAGGGATTTCTCACACCCAAAGTCGCTAAGGAAAAGGCGCTACATGAATTAAGTAGCCAATCAGCGTAGGAGGCAGGATATCTTTAGCCAATCCTATTGCAGGGAGCACATCATTACAACCAATCCTAGCGTAGGCGGAGGGACTCTACTAGTCAGTTCTAGTGCAGGAGGCGGGCTTTGTCGGAATACGGGTAGGAAAAAACAACGCTGCACTGATGCGCCAAAGTGATTTTAAAGGAGGAGGACGAGGAGAACGAGGAGGAGGAGGAGGTGGGTCCCGGTGACTCCGTCGTCATGGAATGATTCTCCTCCTCAGGTTCTTCATTCCGTTTCCTCACCGCAGGCCAGTGACAGGCCATATGGGCCGCTCTATGCCTTTTGTGGCTCACAGACACGAAACACACTGTTTATTATTTATTTGCCCAACTAGACTAGAAACCAGTGCAGATAATTACTTGTTAACGTGCTGATAGACGAAGGCCAACGGCGAGAAAATGAGTTACTTCGAGGAAAATATTGAAGTGTTCTTTGATTCTGTTCCTAGAAAGCTGAAACTACATCCAACTCGCAGAAGCATTTAAGTGGGCTAATTCTGTTTGCCTCTTCATATAACCGGCCAGAACAGACTGTCACTTGGCCGTTCCATGCTCGGGGTGTGTCCTCCATTTTCGGCATATGTTGGGCTTTAATACTTAAGGGCGTTCCCTCTGGGTGCATGTCTGTTTACTGAGTAGCCTGGTGTGCAGCGTTCACTGAGCTTTGATGGAGAGAGTGTAACGGGTCCAAAGGAGCATTTCTAACAAAAGATTAATATGCAGGCAGTGTTCTGAGAGAAATAGAAGCTGGGAATATGGTGACGTGAATATGAGTATTGCTATATGAAACATGTTACTGTCAGGAATTAGGACTATTGATTCTGTAAGCAAGAGCAGCAGTAAACATCTTAAAGTTCTGTGATAAGTAGAGGAAGTACAAATGTATATTTTACCAAAAAACTGCCAACTTTTATAATTACCGAAGGCAATGTAACTCAAAATAGAGTTATGGCAGTGGTCTCCAACCCTGGTCCTGGACAGTTACCTTCCAGCAGAATTTAGTTCCAATATGTGTTCAGTAAGCTGCCCCACCCCTTACCTAACTCTATTACATCTGTTCCAGCCAATCAGGCACTTGTGAAGATGTTGATTAGCTGGAGCAGGTGAGGTAAAGTGTAGTCTCTGCAGGAAGGTAGCTCTCCAGGATCAGATTTGGAGACCACTGAGTTATAAAATAACTGAAATTTGGGGGAAGGACCATTCCTGCCCTATAAATTCCAGTGTCCACCTTCTGTGTCCCATGCCAAGGTTTTTCTCAGTCACCAAAACCACCTCATCATCTGTCTCTGTTTCTTAGTCCTATGTCAGTCCTAACACATTTATAAAGATGGGGTCTGGCCTTCTGGCCTCAAGGAGAAGCTGTCCAGAACTCCAGCTCAAGTTCTCTCCCCTCGCTTAACAGTTTCCCCTAGTACTACCACTACTACAGGCATGGTCTGAGCTTGCAAATTGTTGGTATGATTTAAGATAGACAGTGCTGTGCAATTGTTAGAGACCACTCTTTATTTATTTAATTTCCAGTCTAAACTGCCATTAAGTGTATAATATAAAGTTATTTTTCAGCATCAGGAAAAAAGTGCAGAAAAAACATGGAGCTGTCAAGAAGTCATCACTGAGAAAAAGGAGGAGACATTACACAAGAACCTCAAAAATGTATATTTGACTTGTGGACTAAGATTTCATGCACTGATTAATCTAAATCGGAGATCTTTGAAGGTAAGAGAAGGCAGTACATATGGCACCAAAGCATTGAATGGCTCAATCAAAGATGTGTGCAACCATCAGGTGGAGGATCATTGCATGTTTGAGGATGTATAACAACATCTGGAGTTAGTGATTTGTTTTTAATTGAAGACATCATGAATACTGATAAGTACAAACAAATTTTAATACATTATAAAACCTTCTGGGAAAGGTTTGATTGGGAAGAAATTCATTCTCCTTCAAGATAATGACCCTGAGCACACTGCTGAGAAGGTGAAAACATACTTAACAAGCTAAGCAGCTGCTGGTGTTCTCAGAACAATGGACTGGCCACTCCAGAGTCCAGACCTCAACATCATTGAATATGTTTAAGATTACCTGGATTGTGAGAAGCAGAAAATGCAACCAACGTCTAAGACTGAACTTTTGGAGGTGTTAAAAATTTCTTGGAAAAACTGAAAGCAAGTCTCCTGAAAAGAATGAAAGCTGGAATAAAGGCAAAGTGTGGGCACTAAATATTGAAAAATAGATTATATTTAGCTGTTGAGGCTTCTGTGTAATTTTCTGCTGAAATGATTTTAACATTGCAGTGCTTTTGCAAAACCTAATCTTGGGAAACAGCACATGCTCCAGCTTAAAAACATTGAGAAAATGTATGAGGTGCCCTAATCATTCATATCTTTTAGTATATCATCACTGAAGAGAAACTTGTACTTCATTACATCATCAGAATATTAATGTGAAAGGTCACATTTATGGCTCATTAGTCTCTAAATCTATGGCATACTGATGAAACTATCAGTGCAGGCAGGCAATCACACTGGGGCCTGTAGTGCAGGAGCAACCAGGTCCACTAACATCTTTATTGAACCACTTATCTTTCTACTTACAGTTTTACACCCATTATACTCATGAGTAGCTACATTAGTACAATATATTTCAACCATTAGCTTACATTAGAGCACCAGCTTGAATTATATTATATATTTATATCATATTAATAACAAGTAAACAAGTAAATACCTTTTTTTTTTTAATTCATTCAAGGTCATTTTCATACAAGGGGCCCATTACTCGTTTTTCCATTGGGCTCCATAAGGTGCTAGTTATGTCTCTTCACTGACACATTGGCCACAAAGTGCCAAATGTCAGTGGGAATTATTATTTACATTCAGGCAAAGAGTTTGGACTTCAAGATTCCATTAGCCAGTCATATAAAGTTTTTTTTTATTTTTGTCTTGTCAATTAGAAGTAACATAACTTTAAATCCAGAGGAAAAACCCATAACAATCTCTTTCCCTGTGCTGAGTGCAGGCTTGCTGTGGGCTTTCCTCCCAGCTTCGGCTTAAGCAGGCTGCCCGAAAAGAAAAAAAAGTGCTGATGCACAGGCCAACGCAAATCCAATATCACAAGCCGTCGTATTTCAGAGCCTCCAACATGCCGCTGCTCGAGTCCTCAGCACTTTGTGCCAAATTGATTTCTAGCGACCGAGGGGGAATTTTTCCTGGAGTGAAGGACACATGCTGAGTTTCCGCGTCGTCCCCTTTTCCACTGCCAGACTCTCCACTATCCTTCCCTCGCTCTCCCACTAAACCAATCAGCTCTCCTCATTGTTTTCCTCCTTTTGTTCTCCTCTCAGGCTCTTATCGTTCCTCTCGTGCTCCGTTCTTTAGCCTGCGATGGTTGTTTTGGGGCCAAAACAGCAACTTATGGCACTGAAGCCCAGAACTTCTGCCTCATATATCAGAGCAAGCTGCTTCTTTTGATGGTCATCCAAAAAACAGTCTCCTCTTTTCCTCGGATTGCCCTGCGATCTGATGCAATAAAAAGTCATTTGGTCTATTGGATTTGCTAATAAGGAAGAAGAAATGATGATCAACACAAAGACTTTGTTTATCTATTATATCATATCTTTGTATTACTTCTGTTTTACATTTTGATGCTTAGAAGTTTTTCTTAGATTTTGTTGCATTTAGTCTCAGCCTCGCATGAAGCTTAATACTCAAAATACAGGAGAAATAATAACACTTCCATGATTGCTCAGCTGCATTGAAATGTAAAGCGAGATCAGTAGCTGAGGTGAACTGCATCGTCCCTGGATTGTGTTGTTGCAGCCTGGCTGTCAGCCGTGTGAGCGGGGTGTTAGACAGATTGCCTTGGTGAGGAGGGCCTCTGCATGATAATAAGGGCTGGACCTGAGAGACCGTCCTGCTCTCTCTACCCGAGGCATGTGCCATGATCCATTCCAGGCACTAAATTATTCTGCTGGTGTAAAAGTGTATTCCATCTATTTCAATCCTAGAAGAATCTGTCTCGCCCGTTCTCTCCCTCAGCAGAACGTGCTGGGAGCGGCCTGGGTGAAACACAAACCCATAATGAGAAAGTGAACAGACTGGGTTTAAATGCGTGGCTGGAGCTGCAGAATGTCTGTCTGGCTGCCTCGCCTGTTTAGCCATTCATTTGAAAGACAGGAGAGAGAGAGAGAGAGAGAGATAGGGGTGTAATGAGATGCCAGGGTGACATTGCATCAATTAGGCTGATGGCAGGAGTAGAGAGAGAAAAAAACATCACAGAAGGGAGCGATTGTACATTTTCATTTTGATTTTGTTTCTTCCAGCAAC